GTTTCACATCAAAGCAGACTGCCTTCTTAACTGAGCAGTTTCAAATAGGAGGAGTCAGCGGAAGAAAAGTAGACCCCCAAGAAGTTTCCAAGGCAATGGCTGTAACCCGACGTACCGACGGAGCCCGATTATTTCCCCCAGATGAAGTGCTTACYAAACAGCAAATATCCGGTTTCTTTAGTCGCCTCTCTGCAAAGAAGCGTCTCAATTGCCCAGTTGTAATGGAAAATGACGATGAAGATATATATGCAGCAGAAACTGAAACACAATTTTCCACCTTGTGTGCCAATGTAATGATGGCGGTACAGTTAAATCACCCGATTATTTGCTTCGATTTCAATATCTGTGAAATGGTTCAAAAGAACAAGTTATCAAAACTATGTGTAGAGGAATTGAGGAACGTTTGCATCGAGCTTGGARAAGATGTTGAAGACCTTTCCCAAAGAAGGAAAAAGCCCTACATTGAACGAATAAACAATATTGTCAAAAACTGTTGTTCATGTACTGCGTAAAGTCTGCATTCTATTCAATCCGCACAATGGTGTTCTATGCTCGACGGCGTGTAAAAGGTCGGGAGTTCGTGAAGAGTGGATTATGAAGCGGCTTSATCGTACTGAAACAAGACACCAAAAAGGTTTGCATAAAACCACGGAATCAGGAAGAGAATACTGAATCCGTAYGTATCCGCACTGAATACTGAACAAATACGTAAAAAGGAATTTGAATTTAAATATTCACGAAGGTAATTGGAAATCTACAAGTTATTATTACTGGCATTTTATCAAACGTCGCATGGTGAAAGTTCTCAGCAAAGTTCCTTCAAACGACACTGAAATAAACTTTTGACTTAACGTTTGAATATAAATTATTTTCATTTAGTATTATAGCACAASCGATGTGCCATTTCAGAACCTTACGATACACCAAAGCATACTTAGTTAACTATCGTAATTATGGCCCGAAAAGTCGAGCCGCGCGCGGATTTCAAACTCCAGTTTGACTCCCAAAATATTTTAAATAATTGAATATAAAATAGCTAGACATACCAAGGAATCGTTTTAAGGTATGAAGAAGTACTTTTGAGTATTTTTTCGGTCTAGAAAAACAATTATTTGACTTCCTCTTTCGCGCATGCAGTTTGTTGTCGATTTCAGTGTGTGGAGTAAGACTCAATATTTGCGAAACTTAAAGGGCGCTTATGCTGCCAAAATCAAAAAGAGCCCGGAATTTTTTTTACGTAGCTTAAAGAACTTCCTTTCGAGGATATCTGGTGAAAATATTGAGAGTTTTGATGAAATACCACATGCATTTTTCTTTGCTCGAATGATAGGTGGTTTACAGGTGAATTTATCACCTATGCATGTCGTCATTTTAAAAGGCCTCCGTTCTTCTCAAAAATAATTCATATCCGTTGAAATTACTAAATCTTGATTGTACTAGGTCCAATTAACATAGATRCGATCAATCAATAAATTTGCTTTTGTTTTAGCGTTTGTACAGAACACTTATAAAACGCCTAAATACCGAGGTCGGGTGGGTCGGATTGAGCGAAAGTCAGGCTGAAATCGTTTTTGCTCGTAATTTTTCAAAATAATAGATATTTGATCAAATCCCTCCCATTTCCTTTACCCACTCATCCAGTCCTATCAATAGGCAAAATGTAAGCCGAATCGATTTTTTGGCCGTGTCCGCGAATTTTCAAATTTTGTTTGATTTTTACTGACATTCACTCTTATATCCCTAACAATACTAAAAGCATTTTGGTCAGTTAGCATGGTGGAAATAAATCAGCAGGGATGCCTGAATCAGAAATTTCATTTTATTCGAGATATATGGACAGGTTGAATATCATTTATTATTATTCAGTTATACCACCTCCTATATGCGTTTAGAAAACCTTTGTTTTTGCTTTTCTTTTGTTTTTCGTTTAGCCAATGGCTATTACAGCTGGCTTGTACCAATTTTCTGTATTTTTGTTGTTTAGTAAATGTAATTTTGGCAATTTTGGTACTAAATAAATATTGATTGATTGAAAGGTTTTCTATATGTACGAGAAACACCAGAACACAGTACACCACACTTTTTTTTGGGAAGCACGGGTGGCGTGCGCTGCTAATGCGCCGCCTCTCACCAATGCGGCCCGAGTTCGAGTCCCTGGCGATCTCGATGTCGTATAGGAGTAGAGTTGTTTGTTGGTTCTCTCCTGTGCTTCGAGGGTTTTTCTCCAGTTTCTCCGGGTTCTCCGGTTTTTCTCCCTCCTCAAAAATCAACTCCTAAATTCTAATTCGATCTCTGGGCTTTCACTTAGTTTGGAGCCTAGCTCTGTTGTGATTGTCCCACGCTGTCGTACGACAGCGAAAAGCTTTGTAGATTTTTTATAGATTTTTTAATACATACACTTCTTGTATTACGGACACCCTTCAATAGAGACTTCCCTTGGTTATAAAGTATCAAGTCACTTTCATTAAGTGCACATTAGGCACACCTTGTGTGCTGTGGTTTGTGGTAGGTGTATTACTTCAACAAGATGGAAGCGGCTGCTTGTTTGTATACCAGAACATAACTCACTCACTCAACTCTGTACCGTGTAAATGTATACTTAACTCACGTTTCCGAAATTGGTCTTCTTTATCATAATGATCGATAACCAAGCTCAAACATCTGCTCAGAGGACGTTTCCCGGAGTAGTTGTGCCCTAAAGGCCAAGGGCGGGCCGAGAGGGAAAATCTGATGATGATGCATGGTGATTATCGGGGATGTTCAAGTTATTTATGAGTCCTTTCACTATTAACTTTCAACTTTTATTGCTATACTAAGTTGTGTCCAGAATTCATGTGCTAGTGGTTTTAGTGCATAGTGAATGAGGCTGGGACCGTGATCGGAAAGAAATGAAATTATCTAGTTTAAGGATTAGAGATCTTTTAATTCCAGTGTTTTATCAGTAAGAAGATTTACGAGGAAAATATCAAGAGTAACTTATTATGAGGCACTTTATTGAAAAGATTTTAATCTGGATTATATACATAGCATTTCATCTCTAGGTTTTGCTCAACACCAACTATTCAGTTTTCTTGATCATTTATTTGCAATTTTTTTAATTTTCATTTTCTATAAACGAAGAAACGTTTATAATAAGTCCCTTCTTTTCTGTCTCGATTTCAGTACTGCTTGGTTACTGTGGGAATGCAAATCTTCTTTTTGATTATGTCGATGAACTAAGCCGAAAGATAAAATGATACATCAGCTACTTAAAGACTTAGGGATTACTTTTTCTTTTATCGTTCACAAGTAGTTTGTCATGTTAGTCATTTAGTATCTATGATATAAAACTAATTGGTTTTCCATAGTGACTAGCCAAACTAAAGCTCCACTTTATTTATCGCCAGATTTCTTTGCCATTTGTTCAGTTTTTGTCTCACATGTAGAGGATCTGAGTTTTATTCATTATTCTGATAGAGTTATAGCAGTACTTGTTTGTTTGATATGCGCTAGTAAAGATATTCTTCTCACTTTATGACACAACTCGGTCGATTGTAATGGCCTCACTCAGTGATTATCTACGAATTCTAGTTTTTAACTGAATGATTTGAAAAACTGCATTTGTTAAGACCGCTTTCAATTTTGTAGAAATGCTTTGTACAGGGTCCGCAGTCTTATTAGATTTATATTGAATTACGAAGATTTTTTTGGGGAAAAAAAGACATTTTCAACCTTCTCTCTATAGAGCATGTATTTGAGAAGACATACATAATAAGGACGATTCAATTTCATTTCTTATGGATTAAATTATTTTCTATATTTTTTCAACATATATCTTTAATGTTTGAAGCAAGGTCAGTACCTGCCAAACTGGCTTAATGCTCATGCATTATTAGAACAAATCAGAAATGTGATTGAAAAACATCGACCGCACACATAAGACCTGTTAGTAGACGATTAGTTGAATGATTTTTTCCAGGTGTTAATGGGCTAATTGTTACGCAGGAATTTATTTGGCTGTCGGATAGCGTAGTCACAAGTCAAGCCGGCAGTACTGAAACGATGGCAACTGGATGGCATAAAAAACAACATCTCTGGAAAACCAACACCACCATTTCCAGTCGAAACCTTGTAGAATTTTGTATGAATGTTTTACTAGCTACCTTTTTCTTTCTTGATTTCTTTCTCCTGAACACCGTGGAAGGTAAGTCTTTAGTACATTCCTTCAGGATAGGTGTGAAATCATCTGATATTATTTTATATTGGAGGGAAAGATTTTCATACATTTTTGCTCTCTGATTTTGAAATTTGAAGGAAAGATCGAACCAGAAAAGCCTTAGATTTTTCATTGTTAACTGCCTTTTAAAAACAGTTTTGTGCTAGCAGGCGCCCACTACCTTATTTATATGTGCATATTGATTGTGTTTCTTGCTGTATCTCAAAACAAGATCATGTAAAGCTTCTCTAGATATATATTTATTTCTACTGATGTTATATTTTACAAGTGACATAATTTTATCACAGAACTCAATGAATAAACTATTACTTTTCAGTATTAAACCCTCGTAGTCATCTTAAAAACCACAAATTCGTTTTGATCTTCTTTCAAAATTCATGTCTTATCTTGATTTTTCAGGCTGAAGCGTCATGCGGAGTGTGTAATCTTTCTTCCAGAAAGTGATTGATATTTTAAGCGTCACCTGCTTATTCATCGCCTAGACTAATTGTTCTGATTTTTTGGGGCATTTACTGCCTCTTATGTTAATACTTTGTTTTGAAAAAAAAAGCTCAGCATCAAAAGTTTACATAAATTTCTTATATGAGAATTTTTTTCAAAAATGTTGCAAATGGTCGAATAATTAGCTTCAATTTGATGTGCGCAGTTGACCAGTTGCTTTCTGAGTTTACTGTCTCTTAACCAGTTCAGTAATATCATTATATATTTTGCTTTTACAAAAATGCTAAGCAGCAAACTTTTGCATAAGTGTGTGTTTAATGAGATTTTTTTCTAAATTGCTGAATGTGGCGAACTCTATTTTTAAAATCAGGTATCTCTGCTGATCACGAGAATAGAATTCTCAAAGAAGTGATTTCCAAGTACTCCAACAGCGTACGACCAAGTGTCCGTGAAGATGAGACAGTTAACTTTACGTTGGACATCACCTTTAATAACATAATAGATGTGGTAAGATGTTGTTTATCGCTGATTTAGCTCCTCCTAGCCACGTCCACCAATTATTATTATGCATAACAACCATAATTGCTAGTTGGTATGAATGCAGTAACTATTTAAACCAAGCTAGTTGTTTGGAAAAAAGGTGTCTTAGCTTCATCACATCTCTTTATTTTTCTTTTCTCTTGGAATAAACTTGGAATGCGTGAGTGTTTTCATCATTATTGTCGGTATTTTTACTGTATTTATTTTTTGTTTCACTGTTTCTTGTTTTTATAGGTTGTTCGTGTATTTATTCTACAATTTTTTAAGTTATTTTTTTTTCTGTGGTCTTCGGTCTGCAGTCTGCGTAGGTCGCCAGTCCTCAGTACAGATTGCATTGCATGCATTTTCGGCTACATCATACCTGAGCTTGTATGTAAGAAATCTAGATCTACTGAGGTACTTTGTACATGTGTACAATTATACAAGTTGCATTACATATAGTTTTTTTGTGCATTGTTTGTGCAGTTCAGTTGAAGTCAATTAATGGTGATATACTCAGTAGTACAAACATTGAAAATAAGAAAAGATAGATAACGTGCCTTGCGAAAACTGCGCTTCGAATTTCAATCTTATCGTGTCTTCACATATTTTGATCAAAACATAAAACAATTACTTCTTAGCAAATTTTTAGCTCTTTATTTGAAAAAAAAAAAAAAAACAAAACAAAAAACAACAACAACAACAACAAAAACCCGCAATCATAAAATGAGGTCGGGAGACTTTTCCAAAGACATGTAAAAATCTCATTGGTAATGTTGGTGGGCTGCTGTGCCGGGCATATTGTTGAGGTTTTTCTAGGTAATGTTTGAAGTATTGCACTGTGTCATCTGTTATTGTATTGATTTCGGTGCACTTTTAATATTGAAAGTGCTAAGTGTTTTTAAAAGCCTCCATCATAGCTGTGATTAGTGTAGAAGGACGTGGCTATAAACAATTAACACTACTAAGTGCCTTAAAACAAAACAAGAGTGACCGGTTTGGCGATATTTTCCTGGTTACAGTACTTTGAATAAAAACAATAATAACCATCATTATCATTATCATGGGTGTAAACAGTTGAGCTTAAATGATTGTTTTTAGTGTATGGAATGATTTCTATTATCACATTCCATGCAGAGGTAATCCAAGTGGTTTAAGTGAATATATTTAGCACCACTAATAATTTATCATTAGTGATCCATAGAAGCCCACAATGATCGGTGTACGTTAATTTGAATGGATAAATTGCTGTAACAGCAGCAAGAAATAAAAGCTAGAGTGCATACCATATATTCGTGAATAACTTGATAGTAAGAAATTGCACAAATGAGTAAGTGAGTAAGTTCAGTAGACCTCAGTAGACCGTACTACGACACTTTGTGCTCATTTGTACATTTTGTCAGTTAACTTATTTACGGATATAGCTGTGCTATGCACTCTGTATGTCTACTGCAATTAAGTGAATTCATTAGTGCATTATATCACCAAAACGTGTCGGGGGGGGGGGGGGGGGGGGGGGGGGGGGGGGGAAGAAGAAGAAAAAAAAAGACCTTGTATGATAAGGGTTTTCCCAAAAAGCATGTAAAGGCCTTTTTATGAAACTGCATTATATACATAAATCTTTTTAGGGCACGGAGTTAAATGTTTTGATGTCGCAGAATTCAGTATTAATTTTTCCATGTTTGTCTGATCATTATCACAGGATGAAAAAAACCAAATCTTAACAACAAGTATCTGGGTTCGACAGGTGAGTCTATCAGTCAAGTACTTTTCTGATCCAATTCTTAAGGAAGCTTAGAATGTCTTCCTTTGTCATTTTAGTTCTGGACGAATCCTCTGACGTCATGGAATGAATCGCAGTATGGAGGCTTGAAAGAACTGATTATCGATTCAAATAAAGTATGGCAACCCGACACAGTTTTATACAACAAGTAAGTACTAGATTGTCTATACCTTTCACTTTGAATTTACAGTTCAGTTCTGTGTTCAGCATTCTTGCACACATTCATGACCACTCCATGTAGAACAGCGACCGTGGTTTTGATATGCTATYCATTATAATGTTGGGACAAACCTCTAATAGATACAAAGAAAGGAAACTTATATCTAATAGCAGCTTTTAAGTTATTTTTTTGATTTATAAACCTGTCCTGCTGGGCGAAGTTCCAATTTTCTATACAAATATGCATTTTATTGTCTGCTAATTTACACCTCATTTTCTATTTTTGCACAGTGTCTATGCAGAGTACAGTGGACGATTGGATGCAATAAAAACTCGAGTTCGTCTCAGCCACAATGGTTTCACCTATTGGGCCGCTCCTTTCATCTTTAAGACCCTTTGTAGGATCAATGTAGCTGATTTTCCTTTTGACACTCAGATATGTAAACTTACATTTGGATGTTGGCAGTATAATGGCAACGAAGTGAATATCAGAAACACCAAGAAAATAGCAGCAATTGCTAGCACTAGAGTGGAAAATGGAGAATGGGAAGTACTCAAAGTGTTAATCGAACGCAAGGAAGTGTTTTATAAATGCTGTCCTAATCAACCCTATCCTGAGATCTCATTTATCATCCACATGAAAAGAAGACCGTTGTTCTACGTGGTGAATCTTGTGATCCCAAATATCTTGATCTCTCTGTTAGCCTTCTTCTCGTTCTTCATTCCCGTGGAGTGTGGTGAGCGTATATCGTTTGTCATCACTGTTCTGTTAAGTATGACTGTCTTCATGCTTCTAGTAGCCGAGAGTATTCCTCCAACATCTGATGCTGTTCCAGTAATTGGTATCTACTACACGTTCTCAATTTTTGAAGTATTTCTTGCTCTTTTGGCTACTGGAGTAAGCTTGAAGATCAACTACAGCTACATGTTTGGAGATGGTCTGTCACCCAAACTGCGAAGGATTCTTTTTAAAGTTATTGGTCCGTGTTTTGGATTTGATGTTGCTCATTTGCTAGATCAAGGAAAGAAGGCAACTAAAGCTTCCTTCTCTCGTATTGATTGCTGTGGAAAATCACATCCTTCTAATGGTGATGAAGAACTTGATCGAGTTATGTACTCTGAGCCTCTCTGTGATACTAGATCCAGGAAATCCAACAATAATGGCAGCATCATCAACAAATTCAAGTTCTTGGAAAAGAACGACAACAAGAGCCATGTTTCAAGCACGAATAGTGAAGATGTTGGAGAATTGCTCGCTTTATCTCCATCAACGAAGCGTTGTTATCATCAACATCATCTGCATAACTGTGCCTTTGATGATGTTGTGGACGGGTCGGGAAATCAACGCACTAATCAAGAGCAAAAGATGGCTGAAAGCAAACTTGCTGCTTCTATCATCGATCACCTGTTTCTCTGGATCTTTGTTGGTACTTATGTGATTTCATCTGTTCTTATTCTTATTATACCTTTAATGAACTTGTATAAACATGCCTGACCACTGAATGCTTAAGACAGAGCCAGAACGGCGCTGAGATGGGAACTTCCTCAGCTATTCATGGCCGCTGCTCACCCAAGAAAGAGAACCTTCTGCACGACTTTGCCATTGGTTTCTTGATCATCATCAACCTTCTCCAGATTTATTGACCATAGGTTAACGACTATTAATTACTGCTGCTGTGGAACTGTGGAAGAGTGAAAAATAGCAACCGTTCAACTGTGCACCTTGGAAAGTCTGAACTTAATAAATCCAGATTTCAGGTTTTAACAGTAGTAGAATAATTAGGGAACCAAACAAACCAACTCAGTGTTGTCCTCAATGGAAACTTATGCCTCGCTTTAATTGAGTTTTACCAATAATTAGTTAATTATAACTAATTCTTTCTAGTTGCATTTGTTTAGTGTGTTTAATAATAACATTATGTACTTTGTGAAAATTTAAAGAGAAAAAGTTACTATTTACAAAAAACTAGAAAAAAAACAAAATGAAAAACAAGCATTATAAAAAAGTCTAAAATTATCTAATATCGGCAAGGTTAGTATTAATGCTAAAGTCCAATAGAAAGTCACTTTCGTTGTTCT